GTCTGGAGTGAGAAAGGGCCTGGGAGCCTAGGGGCAGTGGTGGGATCCCAGTTTGCCGAGAACTGAGGGATTCCCGGGAATGGAACTTGAAGGGCTAACATGGGGAAAGTCCTGGGCAAACCAGAATGCTTCATCACCCTAGATCCTACCTCTGATGTCGTTCTGTCTCCCCAGATTTCTGGGGGACTGATGCAAGGAGAGGAGAGAAGACCACACCAGGAAGCTGAGGTTTGAAAGGTCCCTGAGAAAAGGCTATCCATCTCCCTGGGATGTACTCATCCAGGGCTCTGAGCCCCAGGCTTGACAGGCTTGTGTGAGGAAATAGAAACAGGCAGAGGACTTGGACCCATCTGCTCTCCACCCAGCAGAGCAAATCCTAGTCAAAGACAAGTCTATGGCAACTAACCCAGCAATAGGAAGGAACAAACTACTGATCCAAGCAACAGTGTGGATGACTCTCAAAAACATTATGCTGAGTGAAAGGAAACGGATGCAAAGGAGTACATACATTCCATGCAGGCGAAGTTCAACAACAGGTTAACCTAATCAAAACCAAAATCAGAACAGCACTGTCTCTAGGGAGCTGGGGACAGGGAAGGGGCAACAGGAAACTTTCCAGGGGGGACAGTGATATAGTTGATAAGGGCTTGCATTATGCAAATTATATATTTGTTGAAACTCACTGGATCACAGTTAACACCTGTGCATTTTGCTATATGAATACTATATGAATAGTTTTTTTTACAGGAAAAGAAAAACCTATAAATAAATACTGGACTCTACTGAAAAATGTGCATGCCGAAGTGTAGAGAGGGAAGTATACCATTGTCTGCAACTTATTTTGAAATGTATCAAGAAAATAAGAAGGTTGTTAGATGGATGGATAGGGCTATGTGATAAAGCAAACAGTAAAATGTTATAGAATCTAGGTGGTAGGTACATCAGTGTTACCTGTACAATTCTTCCAATTTTGCTGTGAACTTTAAAACTGTAATAAAATATTAAGGGAAAAAACCCTCGAAATCTGATCTTGTTACTCCTCTGCTCAGAACCCTTCAATAGCTCTTCATCTCACCCAGAACAAAAGCCAAAGTCCTGACAAATGGCCTCCAAGCAGGATAACCTTACATCCTGGTTATCCCGTTTCACCTGTTATCTGGGGATACTTATTAATACATCCTCTTTTATCCTCAAGGTTTGAATGACAGGTTATGTGCCTGTCCTGCCTCTGAGGCCCTTGCTGACCTGACCTCACTTGCCACCACTCTCTCCCTCCTCCCTCTGCTCCAGAGGCACTGGTCTCATTTCCAGGCATGTGCCCCCTCAGGGCCTTTGCACTGGCTGTTCCCTCTTCCTGGAATGCATTTCCCCCAGATATGTGCAAGGCTTTCTCCCTCACTGCCTTCAACCTTCTCCTCAAATGTCTCCTCAGTCAGGCCTCCCCTGACCTCCCTATTTAAAATTGCAATCTGCTCTTTCCCCACTTCCCCTACTCTATTTTTTCCACAGTACTTATAACTTTCTACATATAATCTGATTTACTGAAGCTAAGTTCCGTGAAGGCAAGGATATTTTTCCATCTTGTCTATGCTGTATCCGCAGGACCTAGAACAGTACCCGGCAAACAGTAAGTGCACAATAAATACACGTTGCTATGAATAAAGGAATTCCCCTGCCTTCGTGGAGATTGCAGTCTGGGGCTGGAGACCGAAGCCAACATCGACCATCACAAGAGAATTCCTGATGCTCTGGGAAACGGCGGAAGAGGGGACAGGGGGCACGAGGAGAGGAGAGAAGACCACACCAGGAAGCTGAGGTTTGAAAAACAAGAAGCCAGCTCCCAGATGAAGAGGGACGAGAAGACTCCTGGCCGAGCAAACGGCATGAGCAAAGCCGCAGAGGTGAGGAAAATGTAAAGTGTCTGGGCGTGATTACAGGCAGTTCCAAGGGTAGCTGTGCAGGGGTGGGAGGAAGAGGTGGAGTGTGGTGCCATCCTGCAGGTAATGAGGGGACTGGAGGGTTTTAGCCCCGGGCAGCATCATGGGCAGATTCGGGCTTCTGAGACCGCCCAGCTGCTGGGTGGACAATGGATTGCTGATGGGCCAGAGCGAAGCAGGGAAACTCACTGGTGCCTATCAGCAAAACAGTGGGGCCCTAAAGAAAGGGGCAAGTGGGAGGGTTATTTAGGACAAGGACTTAACGGGACAGGGTGACTCATGGGATGTTGACTCTGACTTCTGGGTGCTCCCATCTTAGCCAACTCCTGGGATTGTGGGCCATTTCTGGGGAATCCCAGAGGGGATGCTGGGAACAGGTGGGGAGAAGGGCTAGGCTGAGGATCTGTGGGACGTCCCGGTGGAGATGTCATGAGGCATTTGGCTCTCTGAGCCTGGAGGTAGAGGGCAGAACTGGGAGGCAGAGACTTGGGAACCATTAATTCAAGGAGTAGGTGGGACCTAGCAGGGAAAGTGTTCATGAAAAGAGCTAGGCCAGAGTGAGAGATATTTAAGGGATCAGGAAAAGGAGAGAGTGACATAGGGGAAGAGAATGGCAGAGCACTGGAGGCTAGGGCCCAAGAGCCAAGGGTGAAGAATTTCCAAAAAGAGTGTGGATGTGGGGAGGGGGCGGGGATGGCATGGCAAGGTGATGGTCAGGGATATGGCTATGGAAGAGGTGGCTTCTAAACCAGGTTACAGAGTAGGCTACAGAAAAGGTGAGGGCAGGCTTGGGCTAAGGGACAGCTGCCTGGGGACTGGGGCCTTGGGCTAGGAGAGGGATAGGAATGGGGAAGACTCAAACTTCAGCCTTTCAAGCCTACTCAGAAATGACTCTTCCTCCCCAGTCTCACTGGCAGGTGAGTCTCTGGCCTCTACCCCTACCCTCTAATATCCTCATCTGTAAAATGGGGTAATAGGAAAAACAGCTGTCATTTGTTGAGCACTTACTATGTACCAAGCCAAGGACTCTCTCTCCATGTATTGCCTCATTTAATCCTCACAATAATCTCACCAGGCTGATGTTACTATTATCCCCATTGTACAGATGAGAAAACTGAGGCACAGAGAGGTTAAGTCACTTGCTCAAGGTCACACAGTGAATGAATGGAGACGGTGAGATTCTAACCCAGAGCCTGAATTCTGGGCCTTAACACTGTACTACTAATCCATACAAAGCACTTTACATTTTACAGAGCACTCTCATTACCACATGAGGTGATTCAGGGGAATAATGAGATGACCCATACACCCTAGAAATGGCTGAGATTTTTACCACATGTGCTGAGGCTGAATAATGGCCCTCCAAAGATGTCCAGGCCTTATCCCCAGAACCTGTGAATATGTTACCTTACATGGCAAATAAGATTCTGCCGATGTGATGAAATTAACAATCTTGAGCTGGGAAGATTAGCCTAGATTATATAGGTGGGTCCAATGTAATCACAAGAGTCTTTAATAGAGGGAGGCAGGAGAGTCAGAGAAGCAGATGTGACAATGGAAGCAGAGACAGAAAGGGAGTTTGGACGATGCTATGCTGCTGGATCTGAAGATGGAGGGAGGGGCCATAAGGGATGCAGGTGGTCTGCAGAAGCTGGAAAAAGCAGGCAAACAGATTCTTCCCTACAGTCTTTGGAAGGAACCAGCCCTGTCGACATTTTTACTTTAACCGACTGAGAGTAATTTTGGACTTCTAACCTCCAGAATGCTAAGATAATACATTTGCATTGTTTTAAGCCACTAAAATTGTGGTAATTTGTTAGGCAGCAACAAGAAATGAATGTACCACATTACTGCACACCTGGCTCCCCTGGCCAGCCTGGCTCAAATATTACTACTGAAGCTGCTGGAAACACCCTGAATATTTTTAAAAGTTCTTTAAAGCTTCAATTTGGTCTTCTCTGAACCTCAGTCTCTTCCTTTGTTAAAAATAAAAATAGGAAAAAAATAAAAATAAAAATAGGGCTAATATACCTGACCCTGACTCTCTTGCAGGCAGAGTGAAGGTACCCTTATATTATTTGAAGTTTCCCACAACCCACTGCAGCAGATCAGGCCTAGTTATTGTCCCCATTGCTCAGATGAACAAACTAAGGCTCAGAGAGGGGAAACAGCCAGCATAGAGCCACACAGCTAGTGAGTAACAGAGCCAGGACTTTAACCAGGACTTCTGACTTCAGATCTACCACACTGAGGTACATGTCTCAGAGTCAAGCTTGTGTGCCACCTACTCAGAGAAGCCTTCCTGGAGAGCCTCAGCCCATTCATTCATTCATTCATTCACCAAACAATTGCTATGACTGCTCTATGCCTAGTGTGCTGCTAGGCAAGGCTGGGACCAAGTTCTGCTCTCGGGAGCCCGCAGCCTAGTGGATGAGATAGACACACAAAACAACCATCCCCAAACAGCCTGATAAATGCTGAGACAAAGGGAAAGGAGCACACGGGGTTGTAGGAGCCCGAAGGGGAGAAACTCACTGAGCCTGGGGAAGGCTTCCTGGAGAAGGTAGTGACTGAGCCGAAGACAAGCAATATTCAGCCAGAAAGTGTGGGCAGGGGTTCCAGTGGAGGAATGGCTAAGTAGAGGCAGGGAGGGACGATGCTGTAGCTTCCTGAGGGCAGGGAATGGGTTGGGTCATCCCAGGCCCCAAAGTCCCTCTGGGCTTCTGTGTTCCTGTGTATGAATGGGAATCACGGGCCTAGCTGCCCAGAGCTTTGGTAATTGCTGGGCCCAGGGGAGGGCTGAGCAGGAAGAAAAGGGGTCCTGGGATTCCCAGAGCAGGAGGGCTGAAGGAAGGGTCAAAGGTAAGGGGGACAGGACAGGGTGGAGGGAGTGCTGTGGAGGCAGGGTCCTGGCTGAAACCCCTCTTCCATGTCTGACTCAGGGTGTGACTACAGGTAGGTCCTCTCAGAGCCTCAGTGACCCCATCTGAGAAATGGAGCGTGAGACAAAACTGTCTCCAAAGACCCTCCCCAGCCCTGACGGGGAAATGACATGACACAAAATTACAAAAGGGTCTTTATTTGTAAAAAGCCAAAGGGACCCCTGGGGCGACAGGACAGGCAGGCCGGCATCTCAGGGGTCAGGGGCATTTGGGCAGATGCGCTTGAGTGGGGGGGCGCCCTCCGAGTCCTCTGTATCACCCTGGGCTGCCTCAGGGACAGGTGGCACTGGCTCAAAGACGGGGTAAGCTTCAGGGGCCTGGAGAGGAAGGGTGGACAGGCATGAGCTCCACCCAAACCCAGGATTGCAGCCTCCTAGCCTATGCCTTCTCGAAAGCCTCCACTCCACTCCACTCCCCTCCCGGACCGGGAGTCTAGCCCAGGGCCAGGGCCCCAGGACACAGATTAAGTAGGGCGCCGGAAACAACAACAACACCATTTGGGGGAAAGAAGTTGATATTTGATATTTCTCGAAAACGTATCACGGTAGTCCTTGTGGGAAAAGTCAGAAGTTTGTGGGGGAGTTTCTTAAGCTAATTACATACTTAGGATTAAAAAAAAAAATACTTGGAGGTGCACCATGATCTTTTCAGGCTTTTAATGGTCTCAAATCAGCCCCAATCCAGCCCGCAGGATTTTGTTTCTAAAACATCCTTTTCTTTTCAGTCCTAAGAACCCAGCCTTATAGCCTTTAGCTGTGTCCAAGGTCTACATTTCCCACCTGGACCTCAAGAGTGCAGCCCCCAAGGCTTTGGCTACCCCAGAGCCCCCATTCCCTCCAAGACCTGGGAGTCCAGCCTCCTGGCCACTCTCACCTCAGCCTCCAGCAATTCTGGAACAGGCTCCTCCTTGGTCAGCATTGGAGGTTCATCGGTGCCGCCCGCAGTTATGCCCCCAGGATCTGGAACATGAAATTAACAGGTGTTCCCTGAACAGCTGCTCTGTGTCACAGCACAGACCAAGAGGGAAACACACCAATCACATAAGCCCGCGGGCTGTGGGAGCACTGAGCAGGGAGCCAGTCACATGGCTGCAACCCAGGAAGAAAACACAGGAAGGACATTTAGGTGGCATCTTGAAGGGTGAGTACATTTGATCAGATAGACAAATGGGGAGCTGGAGTACATTTCAGGCAGAGGGAACAGAAGCTTGGCAAGCCCAGATTCTGGGGTTGGACTGCCTGGGTTCGAATCCTGACACTGGGCAAGTGACTTAATTGCTCTAAGCCTGTTTTCCCCACCTGTAAAATGGAAATGATTACAGTAATTACCACATGAGACTGTTGTAAGAATTAAATGAGATAACACAGGAAAAGCCATTAGTACAGTGCCCCGCACACAGGAAGTGCTTGATAAATGCCAGTTATTGTTTTTATATTAGTAAAGGTACACAAGAGTGTGGTATGATCTAGACAACACGGACCACAGGCCCAAGCCATGGTGTTCTTGGAAGGGAACAATGAGGTCAGCAGGGGACAGTTCATGAAGGGCCCGGAGTGCCAGGCTGAGAAGTCAAAGGTCACAGGCAGCCATTGAAGGCTTTGAAGCAGGAAAATGACCTCGTCAACTTTGTGCTCTGGTAGCTGTGTGGGTCCAACTGGAAGAGAGGAGACCCAGGAGGAGGCTGGAGCTGGGTGCGGGTGAGAGAGATGACAGAGCCTGGGAAGGCAGACACACTGGGGAGGTGAATCTGACCAGATAGGGGATTGACTCTATGGGAAGAAAGAGGAGCTGAGGAGGACTCATACCCCAGATCCTGGCTCACTGGCTGTGTGAGCTTGGGCAACTTACTGAACCTCTCTGGATTTTGGTTTCTCATCTATAAATGCAGATCATAATCCTCACAGGGTTGTTGTAAGGATTAAATGAGATAAAACATGGAAAGTGCTTAGAAGGGTGCCTGGCACACAGTAAGAGCTCAGTAAGTATTAGCTGTTATTATCACTTATTATTAATCACTCTCACGATTATCACGATTACTTATTCCTTAGCAAATATTTATTGAGCACCTACTATGTGTCCCATGGTGTTCTGAGGATACAGCAGTGAACAAGATTGATATGGGCCCAACATTCAGGAAGTGACATGAGGTGGGAGTGGCAGAGAAAGATACTTAACTAGTAAAAAGCTAAATTTACATGAAAACCTCAGACAGTGCTAAGTTATCCACAGATGCTAAGAAGCCAGGGGAAGGAGACAGATGGTCCCTAGAGGAAGGGCGGTGACTTTCCACAGGACTCAGGGAAGGCCTCCCAAGGAGGCAACACAGGAAGGGGAGCAGGTCGAGGGGTAAGCTGGTGGCTTCAACCTTGGAGAGAACAAGATTCAGAAGAGAGGGCTCCTGGGAGGCACCTGGTCCTACCTCTCTCCTGGCCCAGCTGTGGGGGCTGAGCATCCTCCGGGACCCCTTCCGGTGGTCCAGCAGGTGACACAGGGCGGCTGGGCTGGGGGGTGCCCCCAGGGCTGGGATCGGTGCCCTTTTGCAGGGAGCCTTCCGAATGGAAACTCTGGTTACTGTTCTCATCTGTGAGAGCAAAAGCCAAAAGGGTTGGGCCTGAGGCCTCCATCCCCCTCCCTCATTCCCCACAGCCCCCCACATCTCAGCATCCCTACATACCATTGAGATCGAGCAGGATGAGAGGGCCACCCGCTCGGGGACTGGCGCCCCTGCCCCTCCGCTCCCGGCCTCGGGATCTCTCTGCCCCACCACCTGCCCTCCGTCGCTCCTGGGGGTTAGAGGACTAAGGGTCAGAGTCAGCTTTCTAGTTAGCACTTGCAAAGCCCCCACTGTACAAATAAGGAAACTGAGGCACAGAGAAGCAGAATGCCCTGCATGAGGGGACAGGTTGTGCACACTGGGTTAGGTCTTGAACTGGGGTGGGGTGAGCGGGGTCTGGTGTGGGGGGAGGGGGAAGAGGCGGAGTTGCTACTAATTGTTAACATCTGTCCTGGCTCCTGCATTTGAGGTCTGAGTGGGGACTGGAGGTGGAGGCCAGGGTGGGGAGGGGCTTGCCTGAGGCTGTACAGAGGAAGGGCCTGGTGTGGGAGAACTTGCTCACCTCCTCCTGGGGGTCCACCACTGGCACCCACTTGAAGATACGAAGGGAAGTGTCGCCCACAGTCACCCAGCGCTTCTCCCTGTGGGACGGTGGGGGGACTGGGTCAGAGAGGCCTGAGGAGAGAGCCACCCCAGGAGCTGGACACATCTGGGGATACCTGTAGAGGTGGTGGTGGTGCCGTTGGGAAGGGGCAGTTTTGCTAATGGGACATAGTTAGAGGAAGAAACCCTGCAGACCCGAGGGTATAGATGGGGGGTGCCTCTAGAGAGAGAGTGTGACTTGGGGTCATGGCTCTGCAGACCCCTGGGGTATATACGTGGAGAGCGCGACTATGGGCCGGGCTGGGGACCAAAGCAATGAAGATCACTCTGCATACTTGCGAAAGGAGTGTCAAAGCTTCAGGGGGCGGGGCATAAATGGGGGCTCCTGCCTCGGGAGGGCAGGGCTGGGGAACACGCTTTGTAGACCCCAGGGTGTAGCCAGGAGAAGGAAGATAGAGCCCTGCAGATCCAGGGCGCAGCTGGGAGGCACATCTAACACCTGGGGGCCACAGCTGGCGAAGGGGGGTAGACGTATCTGGGGGAGAAGTGGCCCATCGTGTCCCGTCCCTGGCCCCGGGGCAGCGCTCACCATCTCCGGACCTTCTCGATGGTCGCCATCACCTTCTTGATGTCATCCTTGGCCCGGCTCCGGGTCTCGGCCCGCACGGTCCGGCCGGCCATGCTGGCGGGGCTGTGGCCGAGGCCGAGCCCGCGGTTGGGCCGCCTCCCGTCCGACTGGCTCAGGCTCGGCGCCAGGCCGGGGCGCCCCTCTCTCGGCCTGTCTTCTCTCCGGGAGTTGGCCGCGCCCTCCTTCGCTCCCTAAGGCTTCCGCGAGTCCCCGCCCCGCTTCCTGCCGCCGCGCCCCGCCCCGGCCCGTCCCCGGAGCGGCCGGGCGGCGCGGGCGGCCAGAGCCCAGGCCTGAAAGCCGGCCGACCTCGCCCCGACCGGGCCCGCCCCCTCGGGGCACCCGGACGAGCAGCGCCCCCTGCCCGCCGCCGAGAGGCAGGTTGGGGGCCGCTGGGCGACTGGACGCGCGCGGTGGGGCTGCGGCCTTGCGTTCAGACCACATGGGCGCCAGGGGGCGCGAGAGGGTGTGTGTCCTGCGTGCTACCGCTGCGCGTGGGGGCGTCCCTGGAACGGGGTGTGTGTGTGTGTGCGCGTGTGCATGTGCGTGGGTGTGTGTCCCCCTCGCCAGGCTATCTGGTTCTACACTGTTCAACTACCCATTCATTCAACAGTCCATTGACTGAGTGCCAGTTACGTGCCAGACACTGCAAATATGACTGACTCTCCACCCACCAGAATGGCTAAAGTGAGAACGACGGACCCTACCAAGTGGAGGCGGAGAAGGAGAGCAACTGGATCCCTCATATTTCTGGGGGAGTGTAAATTGGTAGAGACACTTTGGAAAGCTGGCGGTTTTCGAGTGAAACTCTATGATCCAGCAGTTCCACTCCTAGGTCGTTAACACCCAACAGAAATGCGTGGGTATCAGGACCAAGGGGCCTGTACTGGAATGTTCATAGCTCTATTCATAATAGCCTCAGACTGGAAACAACCCATTGACAGGGGAGTGCAAAATGATTGTAGTCTGTTCAAACCATGGAGGACACAGCAAGGAGAGTGATGTCCGGCTACCCCCAACAACTGGGACAAGTCTCATGAAAGAAGTCAGATACAGCACTACACACTGTATGATTCCATTTATATAAAGTTCAAAGCAGGCAAAACCGGGCTTCCCTGGTGGCGCAGTGGTTAAGAATCCGCCTGTCAATTCAGGGGACACGGGTTCGAGCCCTGGTTGGGGAAAGTCCCACATGCTGCGGAGCACCTGAGCCTGTGTGCCACAACTGCTGAGCCTGCGCTATAGAGCCCCAGAGCCACAACTACTCAAGCCTGTGCCCCTGGAGCTGGTGCTTCGAAACGGGAGAGGCCACCGCAATGAGAAGCCTGCACACCGCAACAAAGAGTACCCCCCTCTCACCGCAACTAAAGAAAGCCCGTGGCACAGCAATGAAGACCAAACGCAGACAAAAATAAAAAATAAATTAAAAAAAAAAACAGACGAAACCAATTAATGTTGTGAGAAATCAGAATAGTGGTCAGCCTTGGGACTGGGAGGGGCTAAGAGGGGGCTCTGGGAACTGGTCATGTTCTGTTTCTTAATCTGGTGCTGGTTCCCAGGGCATATTTACTCTTGGAAAATTTGTCAGGCTGTACCCTTATGATGTGTGTACTTTTCCCTGTGTATATTTTACTTCAATGGAAAGTTTACTTAAAATGAGTGTGTCTTGGTTGATTTTGTTTGAGGCTGTGTTTGTCAGCAGATGCCACCTTCTAAATTTCTGTTGTTACGTGTGCATGTGTTTCAAGGCTGTGGCTATCGTGTCTGTGTGTTTTGGTGTTACTATGTTCAGAGGGGTTAAGGTATAGGAAGGTGGTTATGACAGCATTTCTGGATCCAAACTGCTGGGGTAAAATCCCAGCTCTTCTTGTCCAGTGACCTTGGACAAGTCACTTATTTCTAATTCTTCAGCTATAACATGGGAGTGAGTTAATACCTGTATAACTTAGAACAGTGCCTTGCACATAGTAAATACCCAACAACAGTTTCTGTTAAAAAAATGTGTGATGGTGGGCTTCCCTGGTGGCGCAGTGCTTGAGAGTCCGCCTGCCGATGCAGGAGACGCGGGTTCGTGCCCCGTTTCGGGAAGATCCCACATGCCGCGGAGCGGCTGGGCCCGTGAGCCATGGCCACTGAGCCTGCGCGTCCGGAGCCTGTGCTCCGCAAATGGGAGAGGCCACAACAGTGAGAGGCCCGCATAACGCAAGAAAAAAAAAAAAAAAAAAAAAAAAATGTGTGATGGTGACTTCCCTGGTGGCGGAGTGGTTAAGAATCTGCCTGCCAATGCAGGGAACACGGGTTCGAGCCCTGGTCCGGGAAGCTCCCACATGCAGCAGAGCAACAAATACCATGCGCCACAACTACTGAGCCTGCGTTCTAGAGCTCACGTGCTGCAACTCCTGAAGCCCGTGCGCCTAGAGCCTGTGCTCCGCAGCAAGAGACGCCACCACAATGAGAAGCCCGCACACCGCAACGAAGAGTAGCCCCTGCTCACCGCAACTAGAGAAAGCCCGCGCACAGCAACAAAGACCCCCAGTGCAGCCCCCCTCCAAAAAAAAAAAGTGTGTGATGGCCCCACCTGCTGTGCCCTCTGCCAGTTCATCTCTTTCTTCCTTTATTCTGACAGTTGTCTGTACATGGCAATGTACTCACAGACACACAGGTCTCCTTCCCAGTTTCTTCATTCAAACCCCATAACAAGCTGTTGTCTATCGTTTCCCCATCAGACTGTGAGCTCCTCAGGGGGCTAGAGACCAAGAATGGATCATCTCTGGGTCCCAGAGCCCAGGAGAGTGTGGGTGCTTGGGAACCATTTGTGGGGATAAGCAAGTGTGTACAGACCGTTCAGCATTTGTCTGCATCAGGTTAGTGGTTTGACGTGTGGGTGTGACTCCCTGTACCTGTCTCTTAAGTTTGTTCCTGTGTGAGAACCCTTCAGTAGATGCGGGTGTGTCAGAAGAATTCTCTTACTGGGTCTGGTAAGGTGAGGTGAGGTGGCCCCCTAGTAGGTGTGACTGTGAAAGCAAGGGCAGGAGACATCTGAGATAGGCCGGGAGGTGTATGTCCGGGCAGGTGTGGCCTAAGCCTGCGGGCCCCCACCTTGGCCTCTCACGCACCCCGCTCTCCCCTCCCCCAGCCAAGAGGAAGGGCAGCACATTCCTGTCCTGCCAGCTGCTCCCTCTCCACCACCCACCCCTCCCCAGCTTTCTCCGAAAAGCAGCCCAGGCGCCAAGCCTTCCCCCAGGTCGGAGCCTGAGCCTTCTCCTCCCATCTGACTCAGGGCTGTCTCCCAGGCCCTAGCAACCCAAGCCTGCAGGTCCCGAGTCCACTCTGCAGACAACCTGCCGCCCCCTTCCCGACTAGGCCGTGCATGCAGGGAGCTGAGCTCAGGGCCAAGGAATCCTGCCTGGGGCGGCGGAGGTGGGGTGGGAGGTGGGGTGGAAGCGGGTGGTAGATTGTTGGGGTGTGAGCCCTGATTGGCTACGGCCGGGCCACGCCCCCGCCCTTTTCCCCCTTCTCCCCTCCTCGGTAGGGGGGCGTGGAGGCAACTGGGATCAGCCTGGGGCCAGCATGAGCCGGAGGGAGGGAAGTCTGGGTAAGGGGCTGAAGGGCCGGATGCCGAGCGCCGAGGGGAGCAGGGGTCAGAAGGGCTGGAAGCTGGGGTCTGGGTCCCCGCCACCCCTAGGTCCGGGAAGGGAGCGGCCCGAGCGGGGGAGAGCAGGGCCCCGGTGTCAGGTAACGAGAGGGTGAGTTGTGCGTCAGCTCTGGGAAGGGGCAAGCGCCAGAGTTTAGAGGAGGCCTGGGGCTGTCCCTTCAGGGACTTGGGCTCAGGAGGTAGATTACCGGTTCGAGTACACCCTGGGGGAGAATTGGGGTCGTGGCTGGGGCAGGACGCCGGGACCCTATCTGAGTACCGGGAAAGAAGCAGAGCTGGGAGCCAGAAGGAGGGGTAAAGTTAGGGGCGGAAGTCTTTGGGCCACAGGGGCTGGTAAGTGACAACAGGAGACGAAAGTCGAGGCTGTTAAGGATAGGGACCCGCGGAGCAAACTCTAGCGAGGGGCGGGTCGGGAGTTGCCGAGCTAGGACTACAGTCCCCAGCATGCCCTGGGCACGCGCGCTAGGCGTCTCGGGAAATGTATTCTTCTTCCCGGGGCACCACCCTCTAACTTGTGCTGGTTAAGGCCGGTTGCTGATTCATTGAAACTGTACGGTGCCCAGCCCACGGTTTTGCACAGAAGGACCATCAGGGAAGAAATGGCACTTCAGTATCCCAATCTATAAAATGGGCTTAAAGGCTTGTTTCAATTTTAAGTTCTGTGCTTCGATGATGCTGAATTCCACCAACAATCAATGAGGTACAGAGATACGTGAGCCCTGCCCTCAGAGGGCTCCCAGGCTGAGGCAGATTCTCACAGATAAAAGAGATATTAAAAGAACCGCCTTGGAAGTATGAACAAATGGCCCTAAGTAGAAGGAAGAAGTTAATTTAAAGGATGGGTGAATCTGGAGGCTGCCCTGAGGAGGCAGTATTTGAATTTGGCTTTAATAGGATTTCAACCATGATTTGGGGACAGGGAACACATTTCAGGAGAACAACCGTTTGGCAAATGTCTGGTGCCCTATTTTCCCTCAGTTGGAATGGGACAGAGCCTGCCTGGCTTAAAAGGTGGAGAATTCAGAGTGGAGCTTCCGGGTTCAGGAAGAGCCAGCCTGGAAGAAGTGGTCAAGAAGCAAGGGGTTGGGGTGCCCTCATTCCTCCCCCCCTTTTCCCACCAGAGGACCCCCAGGCTGACTCCTCAATCTCACCCCTTCCCCACTTGGAGTCCAAGATCCAACAGACACACAGCCTTGCCCGCCTCCTCACCAAATATGCTGAGCAGCTGCTCCAGGAATATGTGAGTGGGGTTCGGGGTGTGGGTACCAGGGTCCTGGGGAATGGGGAAGTACATAGAGATCAAGGGGTCCTTGACCACCCATTTTCTCAATCTCACTTCACAGCTGCAGAAATTGGGGCTCCCAAGAGGGGTCAGTAAAATTGGAGGAGCAACACAGCAAATTGGAGGAGGACCCTGTCTGTGCCCCAAATGCCCCTCCATTAGCCTCAGCACGGAGGCTCCCTCCTTGGTACTTGAAGACAGAAGCAACCTGAGAGAGTGAAGAGAACTCTGGTCTGGGAGTCAGGAAACCTATGCTCTTAGGCTCTGTGTGATCTTGTCATCTCACCTCCATGAGCTTGGGACTCCCCAGGTGTAAAAGGAGGCAGTTAAGGGAATTCCCTGGAGGTCCAGTGATTAGGATTCAGGCGCTTTCACTGCCAGAGCCTGCGTTCAATCCCTGGTCAGGGAACTAAGATCCCGGCAGGACCAAAAAAAAAAAAAAAAGGAGGCAGTTGAATAAGATGAGCTGTGAACTCTTCTACCTGTGTTATGCAGAGAAGCTAAGAAGGGGTTTCAATCTAGGGGTAAAAATGCCATCCCAAGAGGACACTTTTACAGAGGACAGAGGAGAAGGATCTGCCAAAACCTTTGGTTGGCCAGAGGACACTGACAAAGGAAACTAGATAGTTCCCCAAATTACTCTGGTGTAGTGGAGGGAGGGTATAGTTTTGAATCAGATAGACTGTAGCCCTGCCAACTTGTTGTGACCATGGGCAGTACCGATAAAATTAAATATAATAATAGAATAATTATGACAGCAATAGTAAGATAATAAAGCTAGCTTTGTAGTCCTACCAACTTTGGTTCAAATTCCAGCTTCTGCCCCTTCCTAGATAGATGACCTAGGATAAGTCAGTCCCAATATCCTCATTTAAAAGACCATGATCATCATCATCACACCCATTATTGGGAAGATTAGGAATAGTGTGTTTAAAGCAGCACAGTGCCTGAACCAGAAGCACAATGTTAGGAAAGGATAAATGGTATTGTTATAGCATCTTTACAAATTACAAACCACCTTTATCTTTTCATTTGTTCATTCACATGACAGTTATTCATTGAGCCCCCTGGCTGTGTGTCAAGCAGGTGCAGAAGTGGGGAAGAATGGGGGGAGGGAGTGAAACAAACTCGGTCCCTGCACTATCTTCTGTGATTCTCAAGAGGTCCGTGGTAGGAAGGCAGGATAGGGAACTGTTCCCCCATCTTACAGAGGAGACCACTGAGCCTCAGAGAAGGAAACGGTTTTGCACCGAATGGCACAGCTAGTAAGTAGTGGAGACAGGATTTGAAGCTGGGTCTGTAAGATAGCATTAATAAAAGAGCTAACATTTTTTGTGCCCTTGCAATGAGTCAGGACCTGCCTTAAGCATTTTAACAGGCTCATAACTACCGTATGAAGTTGATATGGTTATTATCTCCATTGAGGAGATGAGGAAACAAAGCAGTGGTGTAAAGCGCAGGGTGGTTTTTGTTGTTTTGTATTATCTCAAACACAGCCTCTCTGTTGGCAGGAGTGTGTCATTTACGAGATGGGGACATTGAGGACCCAGGAGAGGGGTGGAGGGCTGAGTTCCGGGTGGAGGAACCGCCCTGACTGCCGCGTCTCTGCAGGTGCAGCACCAGGGAGACCCCTTCGGGATGCCTGGCTTCTCGCCCCCGCGGCTGCCGGTGGCCGATCTGAGCGCTCCGGCCCCGGGCCACGCGGGCCTGCCGGTGCCCGAGCGCCTGCGGCTGGACGAGGCGGCGCTAGCCGCGCTGCCACCGCTGTTGGACGTCGTGCGCCGCCGCCAGGCCGAGCTGAACCCGCGCGCGCTGCGCCTGCTGCGGCGCCTGGAGGACGCGGCGCGCCAGACCCGCGGGCCCCGACCGGAGCCCGCCGCCGCCGCCGCCATTGCCGCGGCCGCTGTCACCGCGGGCGTCTTCCCGGCCAAGGTGCTGGGGCTCCGCGTGTGCGGCCTCTACCGCGAGTGGGTGAGCCGCACCGAGGCCGACCTAGGCCAGCTGGCGCCCGGGGGCCCGGCCTGAGAGCGGGGCACGCGCCGCAGCTCGCGGTCTCCTCCTGGGCCGTCTCCCCCTCTCCATCCCTCTCCATCTCCAGCAGCGTCTCTGTGTTCTCCGACCGTCTCCATCTCTCTATTTGCTTTGTACGCTCTCGATCTCTTTTTCTCCCTGGGGCCTCCTTGTCTCCGTCTGTGACTTCCCATGTCTATCACTTCCTTGCTTTCCCCCTCTTCTCCATCGCTTGGACCTGCCTCGCTGAGGATCTCTGTCTCCCCTTCTCCCTATCTCTTGCCTCCTCTTGGCCCCATGTGAGCATGTGTACATCTGCGCCTCATCTCAAGGGGACACCTGGCACTCTGTTTCCCTCTGTCCTTCTCTCTGTCCTTTCCGGGCCAGGGACATGTCTGCTGACCCTGTGGTGGGTGGGCTCCTCCAGACAAATTTCAGCCACCTTCCCCCAGGTTCACTCCACCTGCTGCTCTCCCCCTCCCACATCCCACCCTTTGCGGCCCTGCCTCCTCTGCCTTTGATGTCCTTTCCCTTCTTCCCCTCCCTCTGCCCTATCCCTGTACCTTCCCTTCCCCCCAAGTTAGGTCTACTGGAGAGAAAAAATAATCACCCCTTAAAAAGAGTTTTATTTACAAGAATAAATTAATTTTTTGTAAATAAAATGTTTAAAAATAAAAAGAACACTAAAGTTACCAGTATATATAGTTGTTGAAAATGGGGAGACACCTTTAAGGAGAATAAGGTCCTTGGGTTACAAACTGGTTCCCCCAGACATCCACAAAAGCCACAGTATAAATAGGAGATTCATGAGAGCCCCAGGCCAGGGATGCCATCTCTCAGCCCAGAACAGGAAGTGGATGTGTCCTGAACAGGAAACAGATGTGACACAAATCCTTAGTTTTTCAAGAATCGGACGTCCATTGAATAAGAAGTGAAGCCTCTTAAGATGGGAAGTTGGAACAGTGGCCACAGTCGGAGAGGTAGACTAGGGGAGGAAATGAGCTCCAGCAAGAAGGGAGGCTTAGTTGCTCAGAAAGTCCATATCTTCATACAGGAAGTGAGGTAGACAGAGACAAGAAGGCAGCCCCTGGACCTCCCCAAAATTACAGGAGGGAGAAGGTCTCAGGGAGAGCCCAGGAAGGAGACCAACTGTACTGCCCTGTAGAGTGGGAAGTGAAGCCACTTCAAAGAGATACTTTTTTCCACCCAGGAGGTGAGCAACTAGTACCACTGGACTGGTAATCCTGGACTGGAAGGGAGGCCGTAGGACCTAGGCAGGAAGGCCCAGGCAGTGGTGACTTGAAGCCTGGTTACCAGGAAAATTTCCCAAATACATGGTACACAAGCCCTGTCTCCTAGACAAGATGTGTCTCCTTTCTAGCCAAGAAGCAAGGCAGAAAAGAGTCCGTTGTGAAAGGGGAAGTGTTGCAGCCTCTGACGGGAAGTCCCACCTCCTCTACCCAGGGTATTTGGCCTTGAGCAGAGCCAAGTCCCTCACAGCTTGGTCAGTCCAATGGCCATATTCCCAGGTTACTACATAACCTCGACATTTCCTCTCGAAGGCCGAGGGCCCAAAGGGGACAAGCCCGAGAGTGTCCTCTTCTGGGGGGATAGGCAGGCCCAGGGCAGTCATGATGGCAGCCATGTTGCCCAGCAGGCCTTGGGCCCTGAGTCTTGCAGCCCCGAGCTGAGCCAGAAGGATGGGACTGCCAGGGTTCAGGTCACTCTGGTCATCCCCCACGAGCTGGAGGTGCTGGGTCAAGGCCAGGAAGGCCCCCTGGGCACAGCTCAGACGCTCCCTATCATTCAGCGCATGCCAGCTCCCTATCATTCAGCGCATGCCAGCTCTTGAAGGAGACGGCGGCAGGAGGCAGGCTGCTGAGCTGGAGCTCTGGGGCTGAGAAGCCAGGATCACTAAAGGGGCTGCCTTAGCACTGGAGCTGCATGAGGGACAGAGACGGGAGTGAGGAGGCCAAAAGACTGCCCTGGGTCTCCCCTGACTTCACAACTGCCTTCCATGAGACTGGCATCTTCCCAGGGGGAGTCGCCATTCCCTGCCTCTCAGGGAGTTGGTGAAACGTTCTAGCACAGAGCCTGGGCTCTGATAGGTTCCAGTTTGGCCTCCTCCACATACACGTTGTGCAACTTTGAATCACAGCTTCAGTAATTCCCATGCGGCACTATTATTGTGAAGATAAGTAATATATTGGGCTGGCCAGAAAGGTAATTCGGTTAATGAATACATTGTTCAATAAAGTTCTTGGTGAAAATGAAAGATGTGTCTTTTCTTTTTTTTTTTTTTGCGGTACACGGGCCTCTCACTGTTGTGGCCTCTCCCGTTGCGGAGCACAGGCTTCGGACGCACAGGCTCAGCGGCCATGGCTCATGGGCCTATCCGCTCCGCGGCATGTGGGATCTTCCCAGACTGGGGCACGAACCTGTGTCCCCTGCATTGGCAGGCGGACTCTCAACCACTGTGCCACCAGGGAAGCCCAAAAGATGTGTCTTTTATTTTTATTCAAAACTGAACGAACTGGTTGGCCAAGGCAATGTATAAAGCACTTAGCACAGCATCTGGCATACAATAAGGGTGCATTAATATCGTTCATGAACTATATATTTATATTAGAATCATGAACACTATGACTATGTTACTTATTGCAATATTTTCAATATAAATATATTATTGACAATGTATAATAGTTACAGCCTTATTTCCTTTTTATTCACAGCATTTAGTGGTTTATGTTTGTTCATTTTATTATAATCATTAATAAATAATTATTAATATTATTAAATTTAGTTGAGTGCCTTCTCCATTAAAGTTCTCGTCTCCACAAACCTAGACCCACAGAATTTTAATGCACACTGATAAATCCTCTAATTGATAGATCATCTGGTCCTACATCCTCATCTTACAAGTGGGGAAACTGAGGCTCAGGGTGCCCAAAGCTACCCAGGGTTTGGTGACAGTTATGAGACTAGAAACTAGATTAAGTAACTTCTCATGGACCTAGAATATAGCACAGCGGAAGAGCCACAAACCCCAGGGCCTCCAGGGGCCAGGCAGATCATGTCACTTGGGGAAGAGGGCAGGACTAAGAGGGGAGTGGGGGTGGCAGGAGGCCAATAGGATCCCTGTACCTGTTTTTGACAGGTACTCATACACAAAATCTGAACAAGCATTGCATGGCCTAAACAAAACATCTGTGGGTCAGACCCAGTCAGGAGGCTGCCAGTTTGAACTTCTAGACCTGAGGTTTTGTGACCTCAGGCAAATTATTCCCCCTCTCTAAAACTCAGTATTCCTTATCTGTAAAATGGGTTGTAAATCCACCTCTCAGAACTATTTGAGGAGTCAATAAGATAATGAGGCTAAGGACTTCCCCAGTGGTGCAGTGGTTGAGAATCCGCCTGCCAGTGCTGGGAACATGGGTTCAAACCCTGGTCCAGGAATATCCCACATGCCGTGGAGCAACTAAGCCCATGCACCACAACTACTGAGCCTGCGTGCCACAACTACTGAAGCCCATGCGTCTAGAGCCCATGCTCTGCAGCAAGAGGAGCCACTGCAATGAGAAGCCTGTGCACTGCAACGAAGAGTAGCCCCCGCTCGCTGCAACTAGAGAAAGCCCGTGTGCAACAACGAAGACCCAACGCAGCCATAAATAAATAAATAATTTTTTTAAAAAGATAATAAGGCTAGACTTCCCAGCATGGCTTAGGCTCAAGCAAGCACCAGGCAGGCTTCCCTGGTGATGTAGTGGTTAAGAATCCACCTGCCAATGCAGAGGACACGGGCTCGAGCCCTGGTCCCGGAAGATCTCACATGCTGTGGAGTAACTAAGCCCATGAGCCACAACTACTGAACCTGAGCTCTAGAGCCCGTGCTCTGCAACAAGAGACGCCACCGCAATGAGAAGCCCGCGCACCGCAACAAAGAGCAGCCCCCAATTGCCACAACTAGAGAAAGCCCGTGCACAGCAACGAAGACCCAATGCAGCCAAAAATAAATAAATAAATTTATCAAAAAAAAGAAAAAAAGAAAGCACGGGGCATGAGGTAGTTGTGGAAAGAATCATGATTCCCCTAAAGCTTTTCCCTCTATATGCTTCCTTTGAATCTTCTAACAGTCCTGAGAGGTCAGCCAAGGCAGGATCACCAGCCCGTTTGGCGGATGAGGAAGCTAAGACTGGGAGAGAAGGAATGACTTGCCCAAGGTCAGCCAACCATCAGTGACAACGTTCCTGGGAGTATGTCTCTAGATGGCAGAGTCCCTATACCCTTGCACCCGTGGAGGAGCCTTCCTCTGGCCTTGCTCCGCTTCCCCTACCCAGAGCTGGGCCGGGAGGGTGGCGCCCTTCTCCCCTCATTCCCTGCTCGTGCCATATCACTTACATAAGTCTGCAGCAGTGCTGAAGTATTCTTCTGCATGTAGAGTGCCAGGCTGTAGGCTTGGCTGATGGGCTCAGCCGGGGAGATGGGGGCTCCCAGACTGCGGAGTGGCAGCAACAAGGTCAGCAGGCAGAGGGCGGCTGGCAGGAGAAGTCAGAGGTCAGCACCAAGTCCCTGGCCTCGCCTGCCAATTCATTCATTCATCATAACAACTCCTCAAGTGGGTACAGCCCTTGTGGCCTACAATGATCTTGTATATCCAAGTCAGGGCAGAACCATCCTTTAAGCCCACTATTTCCAGCCCAGAATATTCCCCTGAACTCGAGACTCATGTATTCAACTTCCCACTTGACATTTTCCCTTGGATATTAATAAGCTTCTCAAAGTCAAAATATCCAATGTCCAAAAAAAAAAACAATCCTATGCTCAGCTCAAGATGCCCTCTTCCCCTTCCTCTCCCAGCCTTCCCCACT